AATTACAAATATTTTACTTTTTAGATGTATATAGGTTAGGTACGTCTAAAAAGAAAAAAAAAATAGAAAAAATAAAAAAACTCGAGCTGTTTTTGAAAATTCAAAATCACTCAAAACCAAACAAAGTAAATGTTGTTTAGTTTAATTTTTTTTAATAGAATTTACGGAACTTCAAGCTTTAGGACTGACCCATCTATAAGCTAGTGCAAATTTATTAAAATTACCATTTTGAAATGCAACAAGAAAAAATCAGCTATATATGTATAAATAAATCAATTAAACACTGCAAAATATACACAACTCATTGAACCAAGGACACTATTGACCCTTCCACCTTTGCTTGTCCTCCAATTTCATCACTGGAAAAAGTAACACTTAGTCAATATAATAGATCCAAGGCTAATCAAAACCAAAACTCATTCAAGGGGCCACTCCAAAACTCATACCCCTTTATATCTGCAATATATACTCAGATCTGGATTATTAACTTCATAACTGCATATATATATACATATTCAAATCACAAATTTCATTCAAAATTTTGAGTGAAGAGAGAAGATCAAAGTGAGCAAGCAGGCATTGAAGATAATACAAATAAACATAAACACTACTGTAATACAAAAGAATAACACTTACCAGAAATGGAAGCCAAAAGAACACTACTATAATTTGAAGTTTGATTTTGCACCTAATATGAAATTCAGGTGCCTACACTATACAAATAATAGTGACTAATTAATCACAAACAGATACATAACCACTCAAAGAAGTAACAAAAAATTTCATCAATAATACAATATCAACTACTTACCTAACAAACAAAAATCCAACTAATTTTAACCACCCAAAAAAGTCCCCCCCCCCACCCCCCCAATAATAATTAAGCAACCAATCCAATTTCCAAATGAGAAGAATCTGTTCTCTAGCATAAGCATTTTCTGATATGAAAATGAAGTCATTAATTAACCTACAAAAATCCTAAAAGTAGAGAAAGATTGCACTTGCAATTTTAGTGAAACTAAACAGAATTTTAACAGAACACTACTTACCTCTAATGTTCAAATTTGATTTTCAAATTTCATGTTTGGTTTGATTTTCAAATTATACTAAAATAGGGAAATCAGAAAATAAAAGCAGATGATGGTAAATTCAAAATATATCACCTTATCTTTGTACAAAACAAGCAATTATAAATCAGAATAAAGCATACAAAAGCGTTGCCATATCCTTTTTTTTCTTGTAGTGAATTTAACTGTACAACAATTGATTACTCATTTCCAACTTGCAAGTACAGTAACTGATCATGATCATGAGTTTTTTTTCTCCTCCTAGTCCTTGGTGAGAAACAACTTCAAGATGACAATAATAGATAAGACAAAATACACATCATCTTCTTCAAAAATATTTGTAGTTAACCTGCTTTTCCTAAATATTCGCTACATCAAATGTTAACTTAGACCAGCCGATGATATGATTCCTATGGCCCTGATTACCCTAATAGGGAGAAATATCAAGTACAGGGCAATGAGGCCCACTCCAAGCCTCCTCGTAGGACGCATATCATTCCTTGGTAAAACAACAAGTGCCCAGATAGGTCCTGAGATGAGAAATCTCATAGTATAGAAGAGGCTTTTGTCTTGTGGAACAATGTACAAGCCAGGTTTCTCTGATCAGGCTCCAAGCAGCATTGAGATCCCCAAACCAAGTGTGTTGAACATCAGACTTGCATAGCATCCAGACAAGGCGATCTACATACCATCCCCACCATTCATTGCCAATGAAACATTTGACACTAAATCACCCATCGAGTTGCCCTATGCCAATACAGTTAATCCAAGGATTGATGGATTAACCCCTAGAATTACACCCAATCCTACCAACAGAGCAACAAACTCATTTGCAATCATGTAGAACCAAACACTACTCATCAAAAATCCACCCAAAACCAATGGAAGTAAAAACTTCTAAGGTGGGCGGTGTGATCTAGAGTACCGAAATGCAAGAAAACTGAGTGCACAACCAATGGAAACACTAACCATATAAGCAACCTTTCTGCTTTTAGAACCTAGAGTCTTGAGTCCTCCAGAGAAATACCAAAAGAATGGGAGCAAGTGAAGCACTGCCTACAACGTAGAGACCTTTGACTAAGATTCCTCCTCAACTAGAGGAATTGTCAACCGGCATGGCACTTTTAAAGGCAACTCCGTTATCGAACTTAGTTTAGAACATGAGAATGATGAGTGCTCAGTTTCTATGCCATCATCAATCCAACCCCACACATGCCTTTCATTGTTAGACACCTTAGCTGACTGATTTGAATATATTGCGACATTTGACACCCACATCTATTGAGGCAATGCATTACGGGACACGATTGTATCACTTTCTATGTCCATGTCAAGCAAAGTACTATAGATAGAGTCATCCTCTTGGTTCCCTTGAGAGAATGCACTTCCTTTGACAAGAAACAACAATGTAACAACAACCAATTTCAACCTTTGAGCATGTTTCCTCAAAATCTCATTCGCAGCAACAACAAATGCATAAACTGCATAAATTGCATAAATCAAGAGAAATGTGATGGCTCCCCCAACAAATCACCTTACGAACATACAAAATCAATGAAAGTGATACAAGAGTAACGAGCTGCATGTGAAATATGTGGCATGGGATACACTTCTCACATTGCTCTGACTTGGATCTCCATATAAGTGCAATTACTTTAAGTTATTCACACTTTAATGTATTTTCTTCTATATATTATGTTGTGGGTGTAAATATTTAAATAAGTTACCCTTGTATGTGATTTAAAACAAGTTTTCTTGAATTAGGTTGTACTAACTGCTTATAATCTAAAATAAATTCTAATACTAATCATGTTAGCCGTGTCATGTTCGGATTGACATGACCTCAAGTAGGTTAGGTCAATGTTATGATATTTGACACGTTTAATTAAATGGATCACTTTAGTGTATCATGTTAGTGTTGGGTGTTACACAAACCCGCAATGACACGACATGACATGACATGATTGCTACCCGAACTTGGGATGAGGATATTCTTAGGGTGCGTTTGGATCAAGGATTTTTGGGAGACTTGTGGAAGGAAAGAAAAAAAATAAGGGAAAAAATGTATGAAATAGAAGCTAAATTTTTTCCCTTCCCTGTCTATTTTTCTCCCCATCCACATAATCTTAGAGTTCTTAATTTAAACACAACCTTAAAGTTTCAAAGTGAAACACTGGAAATAGCAATCTTGATGAGCTGCAATACATGAGTTCAATGGTTGCCTTGTTGAACTACAAACAGAAGACCTTAATGCCAAAGGGTTTTGATTTACTTGGACTAAAAAACAAGAAAAAAGAAAAAAAACCAGCAAGTTAACGAGTATACTAGTTAATAATACCTAGTGCGTTAAAGTTTTTAAATATCATTGTCCTAATGTTTTTAAATGCCCGAAATTAAATTGAGAAAACTTATCAAATTCTTGAATTTTTGGATGAAGCATGATATATCAAGGAGATTTTTCAAAATTCAACAAGTATTAGATTCTCCAAGTGTTGAGAATGAATATTAAAATTAAAAGACTTGACTCAGGAAATTGAACAAAAAACACTACTCTAACTTTAGTTTGAGAGTGATATTTGACATGTTTAATTAAATGGATCACTTTAGTGTATCATGTTAGTGTTGGGTGTTACACGAACCCGCAATGACACGACATGACATGACATGATTGCTACCCCAACTTGGGATGAGGATATTCTTAGAGTGCGTTTGGATCAAGGATTTTTGGGAGACTTGTGGAAGGAAAGAAAAAAAATAAGGGAAAAAATGTATGAAATAGAAGCTAAATTTTTTCCCTTCCCTATCTATTTTTCTCCCCATCCACATAATCTTAGAATTCTTAATTTAAACACAACCTTAAAGTTTCAAAGTGAAACACTGGAAATAGCAATCTTGATAAGCTGCAATACATGAGTTCAATGGTTGCCTTGTTGAACTACAAACAGAAGACCTTAATGCCAAAGGGTTTTGATTTACTTGGACTAAAAAACAAGAAAAAAGAAAAAAAACCAGCAAGTTAACGAGTATACTAGTTAATAATACCTAGTGCGTTAAAGTTTTAGATATCATTGTCCTAATGTTTCCCGTCGTTACTTTAAATGCCCGAAATTAAATTGAGAAAACTTATCAAATTCATGAATTTTTGGATGAAGCATGATATATCAAGAAGATTTTTCAAAATTCAACAAGTATTAGATTCTCTGAGTGTTGAGAATGAATATTAAAATTAAAAGACTCGACTCAGGAAATTGAACAAAAAACACCACTCTAACTTTAGTTTGAGAGTCATTAGAACCAAAGAGAAACTAAATTAGATCCACGTGTTTTAACTCTCCATATAGCCATAGGAAAACAAGAGGCACTTCAACATTATATTAATCCGTATGTTCCAAAAGAATCATTCCACAACTACAATGCCAAAATAAAATTAAAGTTGATAGCCATAGACTGTGGAATAATATTATCAGTCATTATGACAATAATGGGAAGAAATTAGAAGAGATAAATGAGATTAAGGCTTTGAATACGCATACACACACACACACACATATATATATATATTATGTATGTCCACGTATACATATTTCGTCTTTTTCCTTTAGACAATTTTATACTTCATTCAATAGGAATTTTTTTATTTATTTATTTTTTTTTTTTTTAGGGGGGGGGGGCAGGTAGGTATTATGTTCCAAGTGCCAAACTAGCATTTTGCCTCAGAACATCAACTAAATTGAATACAGGATCAGAACTTTGTTCAAGTAATTGTGCTTCTACATCATTTATATGAGCAAGTAACAAAACATACTTGTCTCTCAAGAATGCTCTTGAAAAGTGAATACCATGTGAACACTGAGGCCATTGTGGCAAAGACTAGAAGAAAGTCAAATTCTAATAAATCAGCTACCTAAGCAGAGCTACAAATGAAGATGTGTCAAGAGACTTAAAAAGGGTCAAGAACTGCATTGATCCACAAATTGTGTTGGGTGTGGAAGTGAATGACTACAATGCTAACATTGTCAATCACATTATAAGCTTACTCAAACCACCAAAAACATCTCTAATTTGCCACTAATGTACAAGTTAGCAGTCATCAAATTGAATTACTTTGCACATACTCAAGTTTCATTGAAAAGGAAGGATATTCAAATAGATTTTCCATCCAAACATTTTCACTGCCCATTAAAAACTCATTCCTTTTTATGTGGCTACGATCTGCTGCTTACCATCTGAAGAACTGACCCGTGTTTCTCTTCTTTGCAAATCCATCTCCCAATAATATGTTGATTAAGAGAAAAAAAAGAAGGCCATTTTTAGTAAAGTGCCAAACAGTATGTCATTAGCAAGCCTTGGGCAAAATGGGATTTTACATATCAACTCAGCTTCAAAATCCAAAAAGCACCATGTGATGAGAGCTTCATTCCATTCCTGACACCAGTGCTTTCATCAATAAGGGAGAAAACTTTACATCAGCGTGGAATCCGTTAACCTTTCCAAATCATCACACACCAGACATTCAAATCCCTTCAAACCCTTTCTTGGAGATTGCACACAAAATCTATTGCACACATTGCAGGTAGCTGTAAATCCCTTCAAACCCTTCCTTACATTGCAGAGGTTCAAACAGCTACCTGCAATGTAAGGAAACAAAACCATAAGTTGATAAGAGGTTCAAAGTAATATACATGAACACAATTGTAGTAGAGATGAGAAGGCAAGCGAATTTGCTTAATAACAAATAAATTGAAATTAGCAACCAAACTCAAGCTCACTTAAAGGAAAAAGGACCAAACTTCATCATTTTATTAACTATTATTGTAAAGTCTTAGCTACTCTATTAACTATGGATTGCCCACATGGATTTTGGCCAGACAAGGTGGCTTCATAACTGTCTAATGTAAAATAGCATGCAAGGAGAAAGGCTCAAAAACACAAAGTGATTTTTGCAAGGTCTGGAAATTTAAATGATCAAAAGTCTTGCCTAGGAGTGTGCTGGAGGGAGGTTTTTTCAATCATGGAAAGGACTTCTTCTCAATTATCTCCTTTTTTGATTTTTTTTTTCCTGTCTCTTATTCCTTTATTACCTACGAGAGTTTTCTACATAATCCAAAGTACTTATCATGCAAATTTCTGGCATACCTTGAGAAGAGGCACAAAGACTTGCAGTGCAGTTTAGATGATGAGCGTGCATACATCCTAAAGTTTGTTTCCACAACAACAAAGCACTGAGAACAAAAAGGTAACGACAATAGTTAGTACATTTTTCTATTTAAATTTTCAACAAAACATTGAAAAAATACTGAAAAGCACAGTTTTACAAGCTACAACTGCAGGTTTTAACAGACTGAGGAAGTTGTCCTCTTTAGGGTTAAAAATATTCTCGACGCTCATGGAGGTGTATTTGTATTTGGTGGAGTAGGCGAACGTACTCATGAAGCAGATGAAAAACAATATCAGCATTCCAAGTGAAATGGAACCACTCATTAGCTCTCGTCTTGGCAATTTCAAAAAAGAACAAATAACTTGAACTAATACAAATTGCTGAACCATTTATTTTGTAGCCATTGGAAACATTATAAAGCTAGCTAATACATCATATGTCGCATTTCAATTGTTGATGTAATAGATTAATTTTCCCAAAATATATTCCATGCTGCCATGGATATGATACATTATGCTGTCTCTGGCACTGCTATATGTTCTGCATAAATGCGACACACCAAATTTTCGTGTCCCAACTAAGTCCAAAAAATTGTAAAAGTGGAATACATAATTCTAACTCTATTGAAATTAAACTAGAAGCCATGGTATGGACTACAAATAGATAACATAATGAAATTAAAGACAAAGGAAATTTTGTCTGCCAATTACCTGGAATTGAAGCAGCAGTACAGGAAAAATGAAAGATCAAGAGAAAAGGCAGTGTCTAGCTCAGATTGTGAATGAAGAACCTGGAAAAAAAATATTTTTGCGTGAGTTGGTGACAAGGATGAATTAGAGAACTAATGTATTCCCAAAGTAAAAGTGAACCATCACAACCTACAGAGTAGATTTTGATTGTCATCCATAGGTGAGCATGGAAGAGCATGAACATAGTGACTAAGATTTTGGATGATTGATAAGCTCCACATCTTTAGAGATTGTCACTTATACGGTTTGGGAGAGAAGCATTGTTGTCTTTTAAGGATAATAAAATTCTTTAATCTGCCAGCTATTCATTCTAAGCAAGACCCTAAAATTTGAAACTCAAAATTTATGCATAAGCTTATCATCAGTAAATTTCAAATTTACTAAAGCTAGAACCTGAAATAACTCGAAATTACAATGATGGTAACAATAGAAGAATTATGTTTGAGTGAGTTACTATCGTGAACAGTATCAAAAAATGATGCTATACTTTTTAATAGACTCCAAAAAACCAGATTTATAAAGTTCAAAGCTTGTACATCATTTTTTTTTTCTTCAGAATGAGATGGAATGCATGTTAAATGCACAATAGTAAAATAAAGATTCTCTTATGGTCCTAACAAAAATGCAAACTCGAAATATGACTGAAACATGGTGCAGAAGTAAAATTTTTGCTTCCATTCAGGTACTTGTAGAACAAAAGTGCAAGGATTCTATTGTTTACTTAAACATGGATGAATTAATGTGGGAACAAGTAGAATTTTAGAAAAATGGCAGTTGATTATGCATGAATTGAGCTCAGGGTGAGTAAAAACTGGGGAACAAACTTGATAATACAAATAAACATAAACACTACTATAATAAAAAAAAATAACACTTACCAGAAATGGAAGCCAAAAGAACACTACTATAATTTGAAGTTTGATTTTGCACCTAATAGAAAATTCAGGTGCCTACACTATACAAATAACGGTGACTAATTAATCACAAACAGATACATAACCACTCAAAAAAGTAACAAAAAATTTCATCAATAATACAATATCAACTACTTACCTAGCAAACAAAAATCCAACTAATTTTAACCACCCAAAAAAGTTCTCCCCCCCACCCCCCCAATAATAATTAAGCAACCAATCCAATTTCCAAATGAGAAGAATCTGTTCTCTAGCATAAGCATTTTCTGATATGAAAATGAAGTCATTAATTAACCTACAAAAATCCTAAAAGTAGAGAAAGATTGCACTTGCAATTTTAGTGAAACTAACAGAATTTTAACAGAACACTACTTACCTCTAATGTTCAAATTTGATTTTCAAATTTCATGTTTGGTTTGATTTTCAAATTATACTAAAACAGGGAAATCACAACATAAAAGCAGATGATGGTAAATTCAAAATATATCACCTTATCTTTGTACAAAACAAGCAATTATAAATCAGAATAAAGCATACAAAAGCGTTGCCATATCCTTTTTTTTTCTTGTAGTGAATTTAACTGTACAACAATTGATTATATTTTTTTTTTTTTGGCTTTTCTTGTTGTTTGATTATTAAAAAAAATAGAGGATAATTTCATAGCTTCTAAAATTGTGAGATTGGGTTTTACTTGGTTGAGTTTGACTTGATGAATTTGATGGGACTTTTGTCCTACATGTCAAAATGTGGACCATTAAATTGAATCATAGGCTAAGATTTTATATTCTAATCCAACGGTTCAAATTTTATCTTTTCCTCTTTTTTTTTTTTTTTCCTTCTAAAAATGAAAAAATCTTGGAAAGACAATTCTTAGATCTTTTTAAGGTTAATAATTTAATTCTCATAATATTTTCTCATGTAGATTGAAATATTTCTTTCTCATGTCTATCTTTTGTCAAAAAAAGGTTAGCTTAGTTATATCTAGGAGATGTTTTAGCGGTCGACCACCTGGTGAATGAATTATGTTTGATGAAATTATTTGTTGGTTGTATGGAGCTTGACTTTATGAAATATATATTTTTTGTTTGTTTTTCTATCTATTTATCCACTTTAGGTACAAAAGTATATATTTGTTGACTTTACTACTATATATGTTTCTACTCATTGGCACCCTTTGCCAGGTTGGGGTAATGTGGCATATCTAAAAATTTTAGGATTTATTAATTTCTAAGAAAAATGGTAAGATTCATTAATATTTTCTTCTGATGTTGTTGGAGTCAGATTGTGTTACCAATACCTAAAAATTTTAGACTGATTCATTATTTTTATTTAATGTTTGAAGTCAAATTATTATTTTCAAACTGTGTAGATTTGCAAATCTTTTATTAGTTGTTAATTTTAATAAATAGGTTTTACGAAGCAAAGTAGTAAGTGTTTGATGTGTTTTATTGATAGTTTCAGTTGGAAACACAACTCATTTTGATAAATTGTTTAATTTTAGTAAAATTTGATGACGAAAAATAATTGGTAGGTTATTAGTTTGGCATTTGCATATCTATGTGATTTTTTATTAATTCCTTCAATGATATATGTTATTCATGGTATATGAATTAACTTTAGAAAAATAGGGGAGACCCCCACTGGGGGAGACGTCCAGCACCCCCAGTGGGTGCTGATTGGTCCAATTTTTTTTCCCCCCCTCCTCTCTTTGACCTCCACATGTATGTGGGGGTGGTGGGGGTCACCCTCAACTGGGGGTCTGCAGCAGTGTTGTTAACTTTATAACTTTTGTCAATAATGGGCTCTCTTTTTTTCTTTTTTTTTTTTTCAATAATGGGCCTTTTTTTTCCCCAGAATAATTAGGGATATGTCCTGCTTAAAAATGTTTCAAGTTCTTTGGGAAATATCCTACTTATATCTGTAATCTACACCAACCATTTTTTATATTTATATATATTTTCAAAAACTATAGAGTTATAGTCTAAATGGGATGGGATTGAAGTTTCTGAAAATATGTTTTATTTGTTGCTAGAAATTGATTTGCTTCTCCCATTATTTTGGGTCTTTAACTCTAACTTCTAACTTAGTTCTACATAGATTTGCTTCTTTCTATGTCTATATTTTTTTTCTTGCAATGTAACCTCTCTCTTACAAGATGTGCTTGGCCAAAAAATTAGTGCCAAAAAGGGTAGACTTTGGACCAAAACTCATCCAACAACCAATTGTATGTACAACATCACTACCATAGAGGTGGTGTACTGGATTGAAAGAAATTTTGAATATTTAGATTAGCTTGGAATTTCGACTTGCAGTGTCTTCAAATTGATGATTGATTAGAGAAAGGAAAAAGGTTGTTTATTTCTATACTATTTATTTGACAGTTTGATTGAGCTTCTTTCCCTGTTTTCCTTTTCCCCATGTTGTAATCTTCTATACAAAGGTAGTGTTTGGTTCATTGTAATAAAGTGCAAAGATTCCTTACACTTCTCATGTTTGGTTGACTAAAGAATAATGAAAAATTCATTGCAATGGGAGTCATCATTAACCATTATAAGGGAATGATTATTCCAAAGGGAATGATTATTCCATAGGGAAATGTAAGGAATAACCATTTCAGTGTACCAAATAAAGCATAAATGAGATTGAAGTATTTCAAATATAATTAGTGTTCTGATAAATGATTTGGGTCATTTTGATAAATGTGTGAATTGGATTTCCTTTTTTAACATGCAAAGTAGTGTTCTGTAATCTTTTGATTTTATTTGATTGCTGGAAGTTAGAATTATAGTGAGAAAGAAATAACCAGTTGTACTTAAATTATGGCGCAATTAAATAATAAAACAGTCATTGTACATCCCATTGGTATTTAAACCTAATCTATTTACAGCACTATTAAATGAGTTATTTCTTCACTACAAGTCTTCAATAACCTCTTCAACAACCTTGGAGTTCATTTTAATTCAAATCATAGACAACATTCATGTTTAGTTTATATTTTATTAATCGAGGCTTAATTTCTTACTTATTATTTAAGATTTTTCTCATAATCAAATGCTTTTGGTATTATTTTTTACAGGTGGATGTCATGTTGGAGGAAACAGTAATATTAGATCTCTATACTAATTTTTTATTTAATCTACATTTCTTAATATAATTTCTCTTTTACCTTTCAAATGCATTTCTATATATACACAGATTCAGTTTCTTCAAAACAGAAATGTCAATGTTGTGATCCATAATGAACGGGACTTCAATGTCCTCTGTGTTTGTGGGGTTAGTCCACTAATTTCTTTGCTTCTCATATTTTTCCTTAATAATTTTTGCTTATTTAGTCACATATGCTTGACATGGATTTTTGTGTAAATTTAGTGCATATTGTACAGGATGTTAGAGTTACATTGAAAAAGACTAATTTATTAGTGGTTTGAAGGAGGAGGATGTTATAGTATTGTTGCCTCTTAATTTTTATATACTCGACTTTAGTTCCCCATCCCTATTTGATCATGGTTATGAATTTTATGTTTTTTTGATTAAGAAAGACCCGTGTATTTTGATGCCCTATTTTCATGATTTGTTTCTGAATTCATTTATCTTTTCAGGACCTCTGACATTCCAACACAGCTGATTGTGAAAGTAGATTGGATTTGTTGTATCATCCATGATATTCCGGTATCAACAATAAGGTTAGTCTTCAAAGTAACTTGGGTTAGTTTTATTTCATTTATTTATAAGCAGTTAGTTGAAACTGTGAAAAAGTTGGAAGGATTTGAACTATTCCTATTGATATTTGATGTTTTATTAGACTGACTTGAACTATTTGTTAAACATGGCTAATTTTGAAATTATGTTAGAGAATGAGGTGGGAACTCTCGAAGGCACCACCTCAATTATGTGAATGAGGTGGGAAGCTTACATTCATGATAAATTCATTAGGAAATAAAAGATTTGAAATTATGTTTTGGATGTTTAGTGTTTATGTTTTTATTTTATTGAATGTGGATTATTTGATCTTTGAAAATTGAAATGTTATGTAATATGCACTACTATTCATCTGCTTTTGCAGATATTTTAATACAACTGTATGACATTTTGCTCCCCTCCATACACGTGTATGGAGGGATGGCCTTGGTCATCGACCAAATATTCAGCTCTCGGCCATCCATCATTGGTCGATCGGCACTTTATACAGTCGACCGGCCATATTTATCTGCAGAATCCTGTTTTGACAAAGCAGACAATCATCTTTCAGGCCGTTCTTAAATGGCACGACCGCCACCTCTTGGTTGCATTCTGGTATTCGGTTGAACACCTTATAATACCTCTTGGCAACGTACTTTGAGACACATATCGTTTTCTCGGTTTGTGAATCTTAGTGGATTTGTTGCCCTCCATGCCATATTGGTCATGAAAAAGTCACGCAATGTTCAAATAAGTATTACCAGCCCAGATTAGAGGCTTATATCAAACTCCAGCTACACAGTGGCAAATATGTAAATACAGCGTTTACTGGCCATTTCTCACGCATTAGAGTTCGAACACTCGAACACCTACACTTTTTGTCCCCCAAAAATATCTTGATCCGGGGGACAGCTGTTGGGGAAAGGACTTGGTCCTTTTCCCCCACCCTTTCTCTCCATGCTCAAGGATCTCGAGAGTTTGACTAGATTGAAGAAGTATCTCCAAATCCACTTCACCACAATGCTAAACAAAACAAAAAAAAAAATACAAAAATGCAAAAATTGAGTTGAAAAAGTGGCTCCACACAACCATGGTTGAGTTAGAGGTTGCTAAGGAGGTTTTGAGCAACACTCAAGAGAAGACAAATAAGGCTTGAATTAAAGTTGAAAGTTGTTGAGAATTTTGTTGAGCATTTACTTGATTGATTGAGCTAGAGAGCTAGATTGGTCAGAAGAGGGCAACCCCCATAACGAGTTCTACATTAGTAAATTCGACGAGGTTCAAATTTAACTATAAAGTCAAAAGCTTGAAAATAATTCAAATTCAAACAAGTTCACGAATCAGATATAAAAATAGTCCACAGGCAATTTTATATGTCATTAGATTCAATTTTTATTTTATTTTTATTTCT